TGATGAACTGAGCAAAACCCCTATGCCCTGTCTCCCTGTGCTCAGTGGGAAGGAGGGAGGGGTTGGGGAATAAAAGGTGCTTTAAGGGCTTATTTGACTTCTCATTATCCTCCTCTGATTCTGTTAGTAATAAAATTCACTTTGCAATTTAAATTGAGCCTGTTTTGCCCCTGAACTATTTCTCCCAGTCCTTATCTCACTCATGAAACATTTATTTCTTTTTCCCTCCTCTGCCCAGCTGTGGTAGGGGAAGGTGAGCAAGTGACTCTTGTGGGTGCCTGGCATTTGGCCAGTGTCAAACCATGACAGTACCTCTTCTTCTGTGTCTCCTCCTTATATCACTGAGGGCTGGGAGCAGGAAGTGTGTGTCTACATGGTATTTAGTTACCATCTGGTACTTAGTTACCATAAACCATGCTAGAATATTAACAAGCTTTCTTTGGATCCTCTTCCTTCTTTCAGGGCTTTATTCCACAGGACTTATACCAAGCAGATCTTTGAAGAGCTCAAAGTCTTGTCTCCTGAAGTCTGGTGCTGTGATCTTGCTTTTTGACCTGCTCCTAGGATGCTGAACTCCATTACCTCATGGACACTGTAGCCAAGGCTGCCTTTGACCTTCATATCACAACCAGCCTTTCTTTGTTTGTGTGAAGTCCCTCATACCATCCCTCCTTGATGGCTTCTCTATAACCTGTGTCAGGCACCTCCTGGAGTGCTTATAGTCTGCTGTGATGACCCTCGAGCAGATACTGGGATGGCTGAAGTACACCATGAACAGCAGAGCCTGTGAATGAGAAGCTACTTCCAGCTTTTAAGGCCTCATCTACTTGTTCCTCCTGATCAAGTGGCTTATAATACACAGCTGCTACAGTCACCCATACCAGTCTGCTCTTCAGTAATCCTTATCCACAGGCTCTCTGTTGGTTCATCATCCATCCCCAGGCAGAACTCCAAGCACTACAGCTATCCTCCCACATAAAGGGCAACTCCATCTCCTCTTCTTTCCAGTCTGTCCTTCCTAAAGGGCATCTATCAATCCACTGCAGCATTTCAGTCATGTGAGCTATCCCTCCACATCTCCATGATCCCAACAAGATCACAGCCCTGCAACTGCACACAGACTTCTTTATTCTTGATTTAACCCCCATGTTGTAAATATTACTGTGCAGGCACTTAGAAGCATAGATTTGTCAACAGAAACAGAAGAGGCATCCCACAACATTCATGAGAGCTTCTGAATCAGCTCCCAAAAAGGGGAGATAATCCACCAGGCATGCACCCATAAGATGCCATGTTAAACACTGGCTGTGCAGTGCAGAAATAAGACACAGAAAGAGTCAAAGTATTAGCAACATTTCTAGGATCCATAAACCACCAGAATTCAGAAACAAACAAATAAAAAATACCCCAATACCCACAAAAACCACTCACACAATCATTTTGGAGTCAATCATAGCTCATGTGACAACCAACACAAACTGTCAGCATTCCATAGGCCTTTATGGGTCTTTTCACAAACAGCAATTTAAACAGTAACTTTAGCAGTAGAGGAATACTAAGGTATTCTCCTTAACTATGCAAATGTTCCCTAAGTTTGAGATCAAGGAAGTAACAAGTTCTTCACAGTGAAGCATCATTTTTACAAAACAACATGAAATCATCATTGATTTCATCAGTGAATGATAAATCTAGCAGAGAGATTTCTCTGAGACTGGCAGGGCAAAGGTCTTACACAACCAGGAGCAGAAGACTCGGGTTATCTCAGGACACTGCATGAGAACTGCAAAATGCCTTTTATAGTCTGAGTTACTGTTTATTTGTGGTTATACTACACAGAGGGTATTGGTGTATTTTTATTACTATGCTCAGCACTTTCTCCATGTACTTTCCCTTAACCAGTTAATTACATGCTCTTTGACATCCTCTTCTAGACATCAGTCATTTTCTCAGGATGACCATGCTGGTTCCCTGATTTTTGCCAAGTTCATCACGCACAAAGAAGCCAGCAAGATAATGGCTTGGTGCTGAATGGAGTAAGAATAATTTTGTACACTTAGTTTCAAAAACTTCATGTTTGGAGGTTTGTTTGTTTAAGGGCTTGCAAAACCTACCAGAAAAAGCAGATACACTTAGCTGTTACACAAAAGACACAGAGGGATTATTTAAACAGCACTGGCAACCTCAAAGAGCCCCCAGGTACCAACTCCATGCATTTTTTTCAATGGATAGATGCAACTGCAGTTATCACATTTCCCTTAAATAAGAAATGCTTTCTTTGTTCTTCCTAGCCTTATTCAAAACCAGCAGCATCCTCACTCCAAAGGCTGCTCCAGAGGATCTGCATTTGAGATATATACTTCTTCCAGGAATTTCCCACTGAACACTGAGAACAGACGTGTCTCCACAACTTTTGTGGATGTAACATACTTCTGTGTTGCACAACATTTCACTGCCTGCCAAGGCATTTTAAGAGGAATATAACTGAATTCAAACCCAAGTCAAGAACACATACACACACACACACAAAAAAAAAAAAAAAAAAAAAAAAAAAAAAGTAATTTATTGTACTTTCCTTGAATACTCCAGCATAATCTGTTCAAAAGCAGCTATCTGAAATATTTCCCTGCTGGGTAAAATAACATCATACTCAGACTGCAATACAGGAATCACTTCACTGCTAATCCAGGGAAAGAATCACACACCTGTTTTCCAAGTCTCTGCAACTTTATCACCCCAGTGAATCATCTAGCAAAGGAGATTACTTATTTTTCCCCATCTAACAAGTTAAGACTCAGCAAATGAACCTCACAATGCCAGGCAAATTAATAAAAAAACCCACAACAGTCAAAATTGTTCAATGTGTTTTATTGTTCATGAAGCAGAAGGAGGGCATCCAATCATAGTAGTACCTGGATTCATACAGAAGGGAACTCTCTGAATATAGTTCACAGAAAGAGAGGTTTTTCCCTGAAAAATCCTAGCAGAACATTTAAAAGGGAAAGTCTGGAGTGAGGAAGACCAAGTCAGGTAGCACTTAAACAAACTGTACACATATGAATCCATGGGGGCCTCATGGGTTGCACCCATAAATATTGAGAGCTGATGTCATTGTGAGGCCACTCTCATCATGTCACTCCTATCTTTGAGAAGAGCAAGAAATAAGATGTAGGGAACTACAGACCAGTCAGCCTCACATCAAGCTCTGGCAAGTGGGCAGGAGAA